TACATATATATATATATATATATATATACACACACACACACACACACAGCGTTTTGATATTATCACTATTTTTTCATTTTAGCCATTTTGATAGGTATGTCACAATATCTCTTTGTAGTTCTTATCTTTTAAGATCTAAAACGAGAGTTACTTCTGTGGAACCTTTCCTAACATCCTCTAGAAAAGTTTCCTCCTTCCTCTGTGCCATCTCTGATTCTTCATCTATCATTGTATTTTAATTATTTATTCACATAGTCTGTCTCTTTCCCTCTATTCCGAGCTACATGAAAACAGAGGCTGTGCTGTATTCATATTTGTTCCTGCAGCATCTGGTACAGTTACATGCTGAGCACACAGTCAGCTCTCAGTAAATATGTGCTAAGAGAGGGAAAGAACAAATTTTAAAAGTTAGTCTTGTTTATTTTCCCCTTTCTCCCATTAAGCTATAAACCTTTTAGGATAGAAGCCAATGCAGTGTCTGTGTATCCCAGCAGTAGCTCATAGGATGCTCTCTGTACATGTAGATGCTCAGTAAATGTTGGCTAACTATTCAGATGGCTTATCGTCCCTCTGTACCCAGTAGATAAGCATATGAAAGGGAAAATAGATGTGAACATTCCTATATTAAGGATCATATGCTACAATTTTTGTAATATTATTTTAATCTCTACGTTCACTAAATATTTGTCTCTGTACAGATGAGAAATGAAAACAGTTCTTTGATTCAAAGAATGTGTCTGGTCTGAGCGTTTTTCAGTCATTTCAATGCCTCGTTATATATGAATTTGGGAGACATGCTTTCATATCCCTGAATTCCTTTTGCAGTTTCAGAAGGATCTGTGATCTTTCTGTCCTTGCTGCACTGGTGTAATTTGATATGTTGAATATTAACCCCAACATTTTTTTAATCACTTTTTGACTCTATTTTCTCAACTGAAGTATGTTCATTTGCACTTGTTTATATGTTTCTATGTGAGTTACTGAGGTGCTCGAGGACTGATTTGTGTTTTGTTTGTTGTTGTTATGTGCCGTCGAGTCGGCCCCGACTCATAGCGACCCCTCCTTGG